GGAGCCTGCGCCGCACGGCTGGCGAGTTGCAGAAGTGACATCCGAACCCCGGTCCCTTGACCCCTGAGAAGTGACATCTGCACCTCCACTCTCTCCGACCTGTGGCTGCCGCTCACGGGCTGCGTTAGGGGCGTGTTTGACATCGACAGGCCGGACAGTGATCCCCTCCCACGTCACCACAGTGAGATCGGCTCCTCTGAACTGAAAAAGACTCACGCGGACGGCACCCACGCTTTCTCCTCCGGTGTTAGCTGAGCCAGGGTGCACATCCATCATTAAGAACAGAAAGAAAAAACTTCCGGCAAGATGGAGGCACAGGTGGACGCACCGTACCTCCACGCACAACCAAGATTGGAACAACAACAATTTACAGCTAGAATAATACCCAGAACTGATAGAGAATTTATCTGAATGGAAGTCGGACAGCCAAGAAGTTGAAGTGGACCCGTTCATCCAGACCGGTGGGAGGGGCGGAGAGGAGCAGCCGGGCTCGGGTTGCAGCACGGGCCGTGGCACAGAGAGCAGAGAGCACTGGGCGCATAGAGCAACCGGGAGCGCGCAAGGCATCCGGGGCGCACAGGATGGCAGCGAGTGGCAGCTGGCGGACCCAGTGAGGCGGCGATTGTGGGCTGAGGCGGAGCGCGCAGCCCAGGACCCCAGGGAAGGGACTGAGGTCCCAGGAGAGTGGGGCTGCCGCCATTGTTCCCCCCCCACCCCCACTACAACGTCACAATCTAGCGACTGGGGTGCCCAGCCCCGGTGAACACCTAAGGCTCCGCCCCTCACCGTAACAGGAGCGACCAGACCCCCCCCAAAAAAGAGAGAGAGAGAGAGAGAGAGAGAGAGAGAGATGTCTCAAACAGAAAAACAGATCAATGCCCCAGAGCTGATCCTTTTGAGTGACTAAGAGATAGCCAACCTATCAGATGCACAGTTCAAAACACTGGTGGTCAGGAAGTTCACAGAATTGGTTGATTTTGGGTGCAAATTAGATGAAAAAAATTCAGGTTACCATAAAAGACATGAAGGAAGATGCACGGAGAACCAATAGTGATGGGAAGGAAACTGGGACTCAAAACAATAGAGTGGACCAGAAGGAAGAAAAAAACAACCAAACAGGAAAGAATGAAGAGATAAGAATTCAAAAAAACGAGGAGAAGCTTAGGAACCTCCAGGACATCTTTAAACATTCCAACATCCGAATTATAGGGGTACCACAGGGGGAAGAGGAAAAGCAACAGATTGAACACGTATTTGAACAAATAATAAAGGAGAACTTCCCCATTCTGGCAAAGGAAATAGACTTCCAGGAATTCCAGGAAGCTTAGAGAGCCCCCAAAGAAGTTGGACCCAAGAAGAAACACACCAAGGCACATCATAATTACAAAGCCAAGGTAAAATGAAGGAGAGAATCCTAGAAGCAGCAAGAGATAAGGGGACAGTCACCTACAAAGGAGTTCCCAGCAGACTGTCAGCTGACTTCTCAAAAGAAACCTTGCAGGCAAGAAGGGGCTGGAAGGAAGTATTCCAAGTCATGAAAGACAAGGACCTACATCCAAGATTGCTCTGTCCAGCAAAGCTTTCATTTAGAATGGAAGGGCAGATAAAGTGCTTCTCAGATAAGGTCAAGTTAAAGGGGTTCATCATCACCAAGCCCTTATTTTATGAAATGTTAAAGGGACTTATCCAAGAAAAGAAGATAAAGAAAAAACATGTAAGAACAGAAAGAAAAAAATAAGCCCTGGCTGGTGTGGCTCCATGGCTTGAGCGCTGGGCCTGTGAACCAAAAGGGCGCTGGCTGGATTCCCAGTGAGGGCGCGGACCTGGGTTGCGGGCCAGGCCTCCCAACTGATCGATGTTCCTTTTCCTTTCTTTCTCCCTCCCTCCCCCTCTCTCTAAAAATCAATCGATAAATAAAAATCTTTAAAAAACAAAACAAAACAGACGTCAAGCGTGGAGACAGATGGCCTTTGCAGGCGGCGAGGCCGCTGGGTAAACCGATACGGGAGAGCTGTAGCGCCTGTTCCCCGTGGCTCGTGGAGGTTCGGCGGAGAACTGGGATGATCGGGCTTAGAACGTAAGGGCTGCACTTGGACAAAGTCCACGTTTAGCACGGAAGGACGGTCGGGAGTGCGTTTCGCTTCCGTACCTGGGGACCAGCGAGGCAGGAGTTCAGAAGGACCGGTTAGCATTGCGACGGGGCGGGGGGCGTGGGGGGGCGCGGGGCGGGGGGCGGGGTGGGCACTGTGCCGCCCGCGGGCCGCCGCTTCACGCCAGGCTGCAATGCCACCGGGATCCGGGGAGGGGCACTCCACGGAGCGCAAAGCGCCCAGAGGCTCCCTGGGTCTGATGAGGAACTGACAGTGGGCGGGGCGGGGCCGGGTAGCTCTGTGGGTTAGAACCCGATCCTGGGTCAGGGCCCGTGCCATGAGGGGAACAGCGACGCATGCACGCGCCCGCCCTCATGGATAAACAGAACTGAGAGTGTGCTCTTGTGCCGGAAGAGGGGAGGTGAGACAACACAGGCTCTCTCTCGCAGAGTGTGCACATCGTTAGACCTCTCTGAAGGACAATTCCACGACGTCCGGCAGTGTTCCCCACAGATACGTCCAAACACGAGCGTGGGGATGCAGACCGAAGGGTGCAGGTGTGCGGACGCTCACCGCGGCCCCGTTTCCAACCGGGAACGTCAGGGGCGTCCGTGGGTCTGTCCGTGGGGACGGGCAAGTGTCGCCTTGCCCCTCCTCCGTGCTTCTCAGCCTAAAGCCTGAACAGTGAGGGGTCTGCTCTCTGCGCACGAGGAAGCCTGGGCTCCGGAGGCCCATGCAGCGCCCAGAGAGGGCGAGGCCCCTCGGGAGGCCGAGGCCGGAGCGCCAGGCGGAGAGCCTGTGGCGGCCACGGGGAGGGTGGGCTCTGTGTGCCACAGAGGGAGCGCGGGCAAGCCCCCAGAGAAAACCCGCAGGGTGGAACGGAAAGAGCTCCCTCTATCCTCGGCGTGAAGTCGAGGCGAGACACCGAGGCTCCGGGAGAGCAGCGCGGGGGGAGCGGGGGGGAGGACGGCTGGCGCTCGGCGGGATGCGCCCCGCCCTCCTTTGCTCTCCGGTGGAAGACGCGCGCCCGTACCTACTGTCTGGTCCGGACGCCCTCCGGTCTGGGCTCTGAGACGCAGAGCTGACCAGAGGACCAGACAGAGGCAGCTTCCCCCCAGCCCCCACCCCAGCCTCTTGCTGCCTTCCCTGCTGCTTGGGGTTGAGCCCGGGACCCTCCTGGCCTGGCTGGCCGTCCGCTTCCTAAGCGCGGTTCTAAGTGGGGACAGGGGACGGCTGGGAAGGACATTCTCCGGGCCAGCCAGCCCCCCAGCTCTCCTCGGGGAGGGGGTCTGGTCCGCTCGTTTGCTGTCTTACAGAAGGACCAACCGATTCTTTTCTTATGACTTGAGGTCCTCCGACGGCTAAGCCTCTGGCACTAACGCTGCTCCCTTCCTGTGTGGATGGGGGTGGCCGGTGCCCGGGGCGAGGGGAACAGAGTAGTGAGGAAGGGGCAGAGCAGGGGTGGCCGGGCAGGGCTCGCCGGGAGCAGGGTTCCCCGAAGCGAGAGGGACTTGGACAGGGAAGCTGGAGGCAGAGCCACCAGCCCCGGCCACCCAGGACCCAGGCCCGGGCCCCAGGGGCCGGGGCCTGCCTCCTCAGCGGCAAGCACGTGCCTGCCGAGACCCATTCATTCGATTCTTCTTTTCTAATTTTAAACAGCATCCCCCCCGCCCCCACTCGGGCTCATTGATGCCCCGGTGAAGGAGGCTTCCGAGAACCCGCCCCAAGTCCCCAACAGGTGAGAGGACTTCCCAGCGAGACTCCCCTGCTCCGGTCCCGTTCCACCACCCGGGAGGGTCCCCCACCGCCTTCTCCCCGAAGCACCCCCTGAAGCACCCCGTAACACCCACAGTCCCCCAGCCACTCCCAGTTACGTGCAGCCCCACCCAGCACTCGCTGGGGTCCTGCCCGTCTCCATGAAAACGGCAGCCTTCTCGGCCCCTTCCTCCTCCCCACTTGGAGGCGCCTTGCTTGTCCACCACCGCTCAGCCTGCTTCCCAGAGCGCTCACCCCAGTGCACTGTGGTTCTGGGGTGCCCGCCCCCCCCAGGGTCGTCCCAGTGACTCAGGAAGAAGATGGGGAAGAACAATTCCCAGAAGAGTGTGGTGAAGGGCGTGGATGCTCTTCCGTGTAATCGCTCACGGGAACGTGGGAAAGTGGGTTGTGGCTGCCTCTCTACCTAGTTCAAGTGAGGAGGGGAGGACGGGGGGCTCTCGGAGGAAGGGCGCAGAGCCAGCGAGGACGAGAGTGGCCGAGCGCCAGCCGGGCGGGGAATCGGCGGCTCCAGAACGGGCAGACGGGGCTCGTGAGAACGGGCCGCAGGGAGACACCCCGGACCGTGGTGGACATCAGGTGGCAGTATTGCCACCCTGCGGGGGGGCAGGGGGGGCGTGTGCTGTGAGCCGAGGTGTGCTGCTGCTGCAGTGGCTCTTCCGGAAGTCAAAAAAAAAAAAAAAAAGCTGCTTAAAAACTAGAATTCAGCAATTTCAAGGATCTGTCTTAAACTTTCCTCAAAGACATTTCTGGAAGCTGTGACTCCAACTGGTAACTCGTGGCTGACGTGAGTGGGGCCTGCCTGCTGCCCCCTGCAGATAGGGTGCCCACCCGCTGGTCACGCAGCGCTGACCCTTGTAACCCGCCCCCCCCACCCCCACCACATACGGGAGACTCACACAGGTGCCTCTCAGCCTCTGAAACTAAACCAAACCCAGAGCTTCCGGGGCATGAACCCGTCAGAGGTAGAACGGACCGTCTTCTCAGAATTAGCGTGAAATGACCGAGATTACAGCTGGGCCCTGACAGGTGCCAAAGGGCTCCGCTTCCTCAGCAAGCCGAATCCTGCAGGCGGTGGGCTGCGCCAGGAGCTAAGGGAGCCTCGGTTCTCCTCCAGGCACAAGCCCTTCAGTGCACACGGGCCCACTTCCTTCCTGCGCGCTGCAGGGAAGGAAGCGATCAGAGGGGGCGGGCGGTTGCCCCTCAAGCACGCGTCCAGACCCATTGTGGCGACCACACTTTATGTGCTTCTGAAAAACCGCAGAAAACAAAGGCCACGAACAGATGGTTTTTCAAGGGCCTCAGGTGACAGGAAGCAGAAGAGATGGGGACAGGCGGGCCTGGTGAGGGCACGGGGCTGCCCCTCAGCTCCCCGCCGGGGCTCCCTGGGTCTCTGCCCAGTGAGTGGTGGGCGTTCCCAGTGCTGCCCCCGCCTCCGGGAAGGCCTGAGGGTCCCTCATGTCCCGGACCACCCGGCTCAGAAGGCCCTTGAGCAGCCGCATCTCTCGGAGCAGCAGGTCCACGTCGGATCGCAGGGCCCCAAAGGATTGCTCCGTGGGCTTTGGTGGCGCGCAGCCGGCTGGCGCAGCGCTGGGGCCTCTGCCCGCGGGGTCCCGCCGCCCGGCTGAAGTGGCGTTAGGGACGGAGATGACCGACGGGACTGACGTGGACACCAGCGGCTTTCGGAAGGAAAGAGGCTTGTTCCCAGGCGCCAAGGGTGCAGCCTGCGGGCCCGGGGCGGCCGTGGACGCGTCCCGAGATGGCCCTGTGGAGGCACACCGCGGGGGGCGGGGGCCGGGCTGAGTGGGGGGAGAGAGCCGGAGCGGGAGGCAGCTCGGGCGGGAGCGGGGTGGAGGGGACGCGCAGGACCGGGATGGAAGGGGGCTCAGGAAGACCGGGGGTGCGGGGGCGCGTCCCAGGGCGCGCGCTCACTCACCGCGCCCGGGCAGTCGCAGCCACGCGCTGCGTTTCCGCACGCTGCGGGAGGCTGTGGCCGCCTCGCACCAGTGAGACTCCAGCTCATCGGTCTCGGGCTCGGGGACCCTGTACTCGGCGCCCCAGTCGAAGCGGCGCACCGCGCGGCTGTACTTGTAGAAGGCGAACTGCAGCGGCACCGCGCTCTTCCGCGGGTGCAGGCGCGTCTCGCAGCGCACGACCACCCCGCCGGCCTCCGCGCGGCCCGCCACCTTCAGCACCGGCGCCGGGAACAGCTCTGCGGAGACCGTGCGGGCAGAGCGCGCACGTGAGGCCGGAGCCAGCGCTCCGGGAGCTGGGGCGCGCAGTCCCCGGCCTCCGACCCTGCTCTCCTTGGGTGTCCCGCTAGGGATCCTCGCCCACAGGAGACGGAAGAGCGGGTGGGAGGAAAGGCTCCTGAAACGCGGCAAGGAGTCCACGAGGGAGGGGACACGCAGCTCGGGCTCTCCTCAAAAGGGGTCACTGCGCCTGCCTCGCCCGGAGTCCCACAGGGATCCCCACTATTGCCGCCGCCCCCTAGGTGGGGTCCCCAAAGGAGCAAGAGCCGGGGTGTGAGTCGTGGGGGAAGGGACACCCGTCCCCACAACGGCCGCGGGTCAAGTGGCCTTCACTGCGGAGCAGGAGAGGAAAGCGCACCTGGTCCAGCAGAGAAACCGCCACCGGCAGCCGCTCGACCCTCCTCCGCCCCTCCTTTCCCCGCCTGGTTCCCGACCCAGAATTTCCCAGGCTCCACCGCACCCCACCCCCAACCCCGCGCCCCAGGCCTCCCCACCTTGCACGGTCACGGCCACCTTGGAGGAGAACATGGGCGCGCTCTCCACGGGGATGCGCATGGTGCCGGAGCACTGGTAGCGCCCGCTGTCGCCGGCGCGCGCCTGCGGCACTGTGTAGTTGGCGCTGGCGTGGAAGTAGCGCACGGCCTGGCCGTCGCGGTAATAGTGCAGCTTGTACACCGCCTTGTCGTACCAGCCGCGGCAGCGCAGGACCAGCGGCTCGCCCTCGAACACCGCGGCGTAGGGCACTTGCAGAATCAGCCAGTCTGCGGCAGTCAGCACAGAGGGCCCTGGGGTGCCGCTCCCCTGCGCCTCCCGCCCCACTCCCAGCTGCTCTCCTTTGCCTCGCGCAGGCCGCTCCACCTACTAAGTGGCAGGTGAGTGGCAGGGAAGGGGCGGGGCCAAGATGCCTGAGGCTTGGTTCCAGCCTCAAAGAGAAAGGCCCACCGGAGTGCAGGTTAACCTCGTCAGGAGGCGCAGGGCCTTCCGACCTGTCCTCTGCCCACCTCCCCTCTGCCCCTTTACCTCCCCCCCCCCCCCACCACTCCCGGTGCAGGTGAGCCCTGGGGGAAACCGGCCCCGCTCAGAGCCCGGGGCCGTGCACCTGCTGCCGCCCCCTCCCGTTTAGTCCAGGCCCACCGCGGGCTTCGACCCCGTCTCGGGCGGAAGGCTCTGTGACCCCCCGATGGCCCCGGGCACCTCCCACCGCACCCCGTGTTCCCCAACGCTGACGCAGCTGGGAAGGGGGGGCGCACGGCAGGTGTTCTGATTAGAGAAGGAATTCCACGGGCGCCGGCCGCAGCCCCCACGCACTCTCGGTTCCTCGAGCAGCACTCACGGTGGATCTCGGCCAGCGCCTCTCCCACACGCACCACAATTTCCAGGAACTGCGGCGTGTGGATGGGAGGGGTGTGCCGGGCTGCTCTTTGCACTGAGTGATGGTCATTAAGTTGTGGGCACAGCTGTGGCCCACGGGGCCCAGGGGACCCACTATCCCCTACAAGTAGCCAACCCGGGGCCCCGATGAACACGTCTTCTCTATTTCTCTCATCCTGTAAAGGTCCCCGGGCCAGGCTCTTCGTTGACCCCTGGGCACCCACGTGGGCGTGTTTGGAATGGAGTTCTGACCAAGTGCTCTGGTCACTTGCTGCCTTTCTGCTCCCACAACCTGTGACCCATTCCGGTCCTCACAGCACCCGGTGTCAGGGGCTCGGGGGTGGGGACACTGGCCCTGCTCACCGATGGCAGGCACAGAGAGAGGACTGTCAGCCCGGAGTGACCCTGCAGCCGCGCCGCCCTCCAGGGACCCTGGGCCTGCTTTGCTCTGTCCGCCCCGCCCCCGCCCCCGCCCGGTTCTCTGACCAGCGTCCTGGGCCCTGAGGGCCTCCGCTCTCCGGACCGTGGGCCCGAGTCCCATAAGCTGTTCTTCTGCCCCCCACTGTGGCGGGAGGGTGAGGGGACCTTAGGGACAGGCAAGCTTCCCTGCGTCTCTCACGTAGTGTCACGCACCCCCCTCCTCCGGAGACTCAAGGTAGCCCCCTTTCCCGCCCGATGGGTGTGGCCCGGCATCCCCTCGGACAGGACCGCCAGCCTCACCAGAGGAGCCGCGTGCTGCCCCCCACCCCCCGCCCCCGCGCAGACTCTCACCATTGGACACAGAGAGGTGGACCGGGTCGCTGACCGGCGCCCCCCGGGTCTGGCACCGGTACACCCCGGGGGTCTGCACCTCCAAGCTCCTCCCGTGGGAGGGCAGCAGCAGGTGGCCCAGGTACCAGAGGGTGCTGACCGGCCGGAGCTCCACGACCAGGGGGTGGTGCCCGTCGCACCGCAGCGTCACCCGCTCCCCCTTGAAGACGGTGGTCCAGGGCGGCTGCAGGGACAGTGTGGGCTTCTCCAGAGCAGCTGGGAGCGTGCGGGCGGGGCCGCGCGGGGACGAAGACCACCGTGAGGCCCCCAAAGCTGTGCTCTGTGCCCGGGAAGTCTCGGGGAACCCCAGCTTTCAGGAGCCGGCCCACGTCACTGGCCCGACCCCCCAGGAGAGCGACCACGTGCGGCTACTGAGAGCCGGTTTCCCGATCCCCCGGTGACACCCGTGTCTAAGTGCCTGCAGGCAAGCTGAGTCACAGGGATGGTGGCCGTGGGGAAAGGCACCCTCCCAGAGCAGCCAAGGGGAGGGGGGCGGGGGGCAGGGCCCAGGCAGGTCACTCTGGGGCTGAGGGAGAGGTGTCGGAACTTGGGGTGAAGGAGGCTGGGGACTCACTCACCGGCGTGCCCACTGCTGGGAGCTGCTGCGAACAGGGAGTGGAAGGAGGAGGAGGGAGGAGGTGCTGCAGGGGCGAGGCGAGGAGGCGCCGCCCCGACCGCAGCAAAGACTCGGCGGGGACCCAGTCCTGCTTTCCTTCGGCCTCAGCTCCCCCAGCTCGGAGGAGGCGCCCTCCCCCTTGTCCCTCCGAGACAGTGACGTGTCTGGAGTTGGGGATGGCGTGTCCCCGGCCTGCACGCACGCACACACACACATGTGTGCACACCCGGTCCCCTGCCCGTCGTGGACTCACCCAGGAGCAGGAGGGCTGCCAGCGCCCACATGGCCGGTCTGCCTGCAGCCGCTGCACCGAAATGGGGAGGCTGCCTGGGGGGGGTGGGCGTGCAGAGAAGGGGCCGTGCAGACCCCGGAGCGCCGGCGGTCTGTCAGCTGCCGGTGGGCTGGGGGGAGCAGGAGCCAGGCTGCACAGGTGCCAGCCCTCAGGTGCCCCGCCGCCGACCCCACCCCCGCAAGGGCACCCTTGCACCTCAGGGCAGCCCCAGGGTCTGCGCCCCGCAGCCCAGGCACCGGCAGGCGACCCTGCCACCCGCCATCCAGCCAGGCCCGTGAGCCTCTGCTGGGGAAGACACAGCCTCCTGGCCCGCAGACCCCCGGGGACAGACGCCGGTGTGTGGCTTCGTGGGGCCGACCTCCCTCGGGGGGCAGACGGGAAGAGGGGGCTCGGCATCCCCGTCGAGGACGGAACGTAATGAGTCTCCCCTGCTCTCTCCCTTCCTGGGGCCCCAAACCCTCAGAAGTCAGAAACTCGTCTCTCCCTCCCGCCGCAGTCACCTCGCCCCATGGCCTCCGCACCCACGGGGGCCTTCCTTCCTCCTCCTCCCGCTCCCCCCGCACCCCCGCCCCAGCCATGCCCACGGCGCCCCTTACCCTCGGCACAGGAGTCCCTACTCCGGCCCCTCGGAGACGCCGTGCGGGCGGCCTCCCGGGTTTCTGGGCCACGTGATCCGCCCTGAGCAACGGCGAGCCCGTGGCCTCGGGTAAATAGTTAATGAGTTTTCCAGCCCGATAGAGTGTCTGCGTGGGCTGGGTCCTGTCCCCACCGCGCTGTCCAGCACGGGCAGCTCCGCCCCGGGAGCCCTGGCATGGAGGAGGCCGCCAGGCCCCCTGCACTCGGCGGAGGACCGTCCCCGCCCGCCTGGCCTGGGGACGCCCGGGGCTGCGCTCTGAGAACTCCCGCAGGGCGTCTCCCAAGGCGCCAGCCCTGGCTCGTCACACGTGCAAAGGCCTCCTGGGAAAACGGGGCCAGTCGTTTCGGTCCTGGGGGCCACTTTGACCCAGCGCCCTGGAAGAGGGACGGCGTCCCAGAGTCTGGGAAGCGGGCGGCGGGCAGCACCTGATCAGGGACCGGGGCTGGGAGGGAGGGGAGAGCCGGGGGCCGGGAGCGGGACCGGGGACCGCTGCTCTGGGACGGCACCGCCTCCTCGTCCCCGGCCCGCGGCGTGGGCTCCCCGCAGCCGGCGCCCCCCCCGCCCCGCCCCCGGCTCCGGCCTGGGCCCTGACCAGGCGCCTCGTCTGTGGCGAGAACGGGACAGCGGGCAGCGTGGCCCTCGCCCACACCAGGTGACGCTCGTCTGGCTTCTCGTCACTCCGAGCTCAGCCTCTTGGCCAGACTCCAGGACGCCTCGGGTCACGCCCCACATTCACGGAGCGCACGGCCGTCCCTGAAAACCCCCAGGCGCACCCACGGGGCGCACGCACACGGAGCTCAGAGTCCGGCTCGAACCGCCCCCCCGGCCCCCCCAACATGTCTGTATTCTTGGCTTCCTTCCCGCTCACGTGCGACGGGCACCGGGTCACAGGCCTCCCAGATGTCCCTTCCTAAAACTCGCACCTGAACATCTGGTGGGATTCCATTCCCTCGGTGGTTGGTTTTTGTTGTTTGTTTTTTTTTTTAATTGATCTTAGAGAGCGAGGGAGGGAGAGAAGACGAGAGAGAAGCACGGATTTGCCGTCTCCTTGCTGATGCCTCATCGGTTGATGCCTGCGTGTGCCCTGCCCGACCGGGGACGGAACCCACCCCCTTGGCGTGCGGGGCCGAGGGGTGGCGCTCCAGCCCGCCCACCCACCCACCCTGCCAGGGCCCATGCTCTCGTTTCCCGGTGGCTTGTCCAGACGGACACATCTGTCGTCAGTCACCGAGGGTCACCGCGGGCACAGAGGAATCCGCGCACGGAAAGAGGAAGCGGGAGCCCCGCCCTGGATGTGCGGCGCGTGGGCTGCGGTCAGCACAGAACCGCACGCCGCCTCCCCGACCAGAGGCCGCTGTGGGGCCCGGCTCCCGCTGCCTGGGACTGGTTCGCCCCAGCCAAGCACGGGGGAGGGGGCGGTTAGCGGGGCCCCAGAGAGATTCGAGTGTGTTTGCAAAGACAATCAGCTCAGAGACCAAGTCCTTCGAACAGGCCGCCGCAGCCCCGGCACAGCTGGCTCACCCCAGACGTCCGAATCCAGGGCAGCCTGCGGGGGGCTCCGGACTCTGCCGCACCTCGGGCGGGTCGGGGGAGAGCATCAACTGATCCGGGGCAGAGACGCTGACTTGTGTGTGGGCCTGACAGGTGTGACCTCGGGCAGTGGCAGAGCCACCGCACACCCGCGTGTCATTAGTCAGCGTTTGCTGCGCGAGGCTGGAGTGGAGGGAGGGGGTGGAAGAGGCGAAGCACCCCCCACCCCAGCAGTCGGACACCAAGCTTCTGCCAGGCCAGGGTTTCCGCCCCCGGCGCTGTGGACGTTTGGGGCCAGAGAACCCTTTGTGGTGGGGGCTGCTCTGTGTATCACAGGGCGCCAGCAGCACCCCGGTGTTCTCCTTAGTAGACGACAGTAGCACCCCCCCCGAAAAACTGACAACCCAGACGTCTCCAGACAGTCCCAAGCGCCCCCGGGAGGGTGGGGAAGCGTCTCGCTGCTTCTCTCCCGGCCCCAGACCCGGGGCCAGGGCAGAGGGAGGGCGCCGAGTCGGCTCGCCTCCGCCAGCCCGTGGCGCAAGGTCGCCGGCGCTCGCCCACCCCCAGCGCTGGAGCAGGGCTCCGACACCCCGGGGACCCCTCCGTGCAGCATGTGGATGGGTCGGAGAGAGGGAGGGGAGTGCGGTTTATTGGGGGCGGAGCAACACCACAGGCGAAAGGTTCACTGGCGTTTGGCAGGGCCCTTCCTGGTCTCCGGCTTCAGGTGGCTGGACAAGTCCCTCAGCTCCAAGACCAGGTGACCAAGGAGCGCTCTCACGTCCTGCATTTGTTTGAGGAGGACCCCCATCTGGTGGTGCAGGTGGGGGTCAGGTGCCTGCAGAGGAGAGGGCAGGCCGGCACCCTTGGAGGGAGGGCCGGGCGGTGGGGGCAGCGGCCCAGAGGGCTTGGCAGCCGGCGGCCCTGGAGCCCAGGGTTGCGGAGGAGCCGGGTTCAAGGTGGGCGGCGCCCCAGAGCTCGAGGGACCTGGGTGGGGTGGGAGACACACACACCTGTGCCCACGGAAGCCTGGCTCCCGGGCCCCGCCCTCAGCTCCTGTCGGGGGCCCGGCACGGCAGAGCCGTGAAGCGCCTCGGGTCCCTCCCGGTCCAAATCCGAGCCTGCGGCTCGGCCCCTCGGCCGGCCAGGAGTGCTCCCCACACGTGGGGTGTGCCATCTGTGCACTTCCTCCTGCTGCGCATTTGGGGGTGCTCTGGAGGCCCCTGAGTCACCTCCCTTCAGGATGAGCCCCTCCCGGGTCCCTGCTGCTGCTGCTTTTCCTCTCACAACTCGGCCTCCGGCCCCTCACTGCCCTGGACAGCTCCTCTGGGCGCATTCCCGGTCAGGAGCAGCCTCCTCAGCGGGGCTCCCGGCTTGGGCCCGGGCCCGGACGCCTTGTCCCCGTGTGGACACTGACCGCCCACCAGGGTGCAGGCTGTGTGTCGGGAGCGGCAGGCCTGGGGGCGGCCACCGCCCCTCCCGGGGCCGTGCGGGGTCTCCGAGGTCCGAGGGGGAAGTCCCTCCTGCCCAGACCCCTGGCTCCTCTGTGTCCCCTGGGAATCTGCTCGCGCCCCCCCGCGCCCCCCCGTCCTCCCACACGAGCGGGCACGCCCACTCACCCTGCACCCTGACCTCCAGCTTGGGGCTGCGTTTCCACACGTGCCCGTCCTCGGTGGCAGCCTCGCACCAGTAGGACCCAGCGTGGCCTGCCGAGGCCGCGGGCACCTGAAGCTCCGGGGACGCGCCCCGGCCGCGCATGGCCCGGCCGTCCTTGTAGAAGGAGAAGAGGAGGCGGGCGGCCGACCTCTGCGGCGCCAGCTTGGTCCGGCAGCTCAGGGTCAGCGGGCCTCCCTCCCGGGGCTGGGCCGAGGGCACGGCCCGGAGCACGGGGGCTGCAAACAGTTCTGGGGGAGACAGGCGGGAAGGCAGGGCTCGGGCCTCCGGGGCTCACGCTCCACGGGAGTCTCCACGGCACCGGGCGCGTCCCCCATCTTCCCGCGCCCAGGGCAGAGCGGGCCCAGCGACACGGGTGCCTCTGACGACGCTCCGGACGCCCCGTCGCGGACCCTGGATGCCTGGGGCCCAGGGACCGGAAAAGGCTCCGCCGGCTGGCAGCGGTCCGGCCCCTCCACCAAGAGGCGGTCAGTCTCTCTGTCGCCCCCTGCCCCGCCCCCTGCTCTGCCACAAGGACACGCCTATGCTCTCACCCTGGACCGCGATCACCAAGGAGGATGCCGTCTCTGGGCGCCCGGGGCCAGGGCTCCTGAAGACCGCGCTGCAGTGGTAGTGCCCGCTGTCCGCCCTCTGCGCCGCGGCGATAGAGAACTCCCGGCGAGGCCCCGGCGGGCCCAGAGCCGAGCCGTCGCGGTAGAAGGTGACCTGCGTCAGGGGCCAGTCCTGCCAGGCCTGGCAGCGCAGAGCCACCGGGTCCCCCTCAAACAGGGGGGTGGCTGGGCCTTGCAGAATCAGCCAGTCTGCGACCCAGAGCGGGAGCTGAGTGTCCTCCACCGCCTGCCGTGGGAGCCCCCCAGCACCGCCCACCACAGACCCCGGAACTTTCCCTGAGGGCCCCGGGAACCCCCACCCCAACGACATCTCCAGGGCCTAAGCCTGCGGGTGCCCTGGGCGCCCTGGTCTGTGGGCTCAAGATGTGGGAGGCGGTGCGCCATCCATGCCAGTTTCTGGGGGGGGGGCCCTGCGCGAGGGGCTGCGGGCCGAGGGGGCTGCGGGCGGGGACAGGAGAGCGGGCCCGCACCGGTCAGGGCCTCACCGTAGGACACAATCAGATGGAAGGGCCGGCTGAACACGTAGCTCTTGGCCTGGAAGTCCACCTCCCTGGAGCCCGTCAGGTGCCGTCCAGCGTGGCAGCCGCTGTCCCGGGTGCTGGCCGGCCCTTCGCACTGCAGGGGCTCAAAGCTGGCCGCGGAGGAGGGCGCCGGCCGAGACAGTGACGCTGTGACTTGGAGAGAGGGGACAGGAGAGGGGTTCCTCCTGCTTCGGGGGATCCCCCTTTTTAGAGTGAGAATAGGAGGACCCCGAAACCTTTTCATCAGCAGAACCCCATGGGTCCCTGTGAGCGTCTTTGACGTGATTTCCAGGCTGCCGGGAACTCGGGGGGGCTCAGCGGTTTGGGGGAGACTGGCGGGACGCGGACCCACCGGCGTGACCTCCGGCTGCTGTGGGCACGGGAAACCAGGTGGCCCCAGAGCCGGCAGACACAGGACGGCGGGGGTGGGGGGGTGGGGGGGTCCGTTCGAACCCTGACAGGCCGGGCTCTTCCACACATGTGCTCATTTCACCGCCGCAAGGTTTCAGGGTGCTTGATGCACCCCCCGTTTGTGGGTCTTTAGGGAATGGGCTTGGGACACGCGACGAGCTGGCCCGAGGTTTGAAAGGGGCCAGGAACGGGCCAGGGCAGCCGGGCTGGTCTGCGCCCGGAACCGGTGCTCTTCCCGCCACGCCGCTCCGACAGGGTCTGCCTCAGCCACCCCCCCCCCGCCCCCCGCCCGGCCTTCCTTGGGGACTGTCCTCCAAAGCCTCGTCCCCAGACTCGCTGGGCCCCCCGGCCCCAACTGCCGCACCCCCAGCAGCTCTCGGCTCCCAGCTGCGTCTCCTGCGTCCCCGCTCCCACCTGTAGGTCCTCCCTCTTCAGCCACCTCTGCCCCGATGTCCTCGTCCCTGCTCCCACGGCCTTCTCCGCCCTGACCCTGCTCCCAGGCCCGTGACTAGGCAGCCATGCTCTCTTTGCTCCCAGGCGGCTGAGGGCCAGAGTCACAGATTTCTCCGCGAATCTGCTCGCCCCGCCTCTGAGCTCCACGGGCATCCCCCCTGCCCCCGCAAGGCAACTCCATTTCACTGCCACACCTGTGCCGCCGGGCCCCAGACCCCACCTGCACCTCCCCCCTCCCCCCTCGACGCCTCGGCCCTCCCTCCCCCTCTGGCCCCGGGGGCCATGCGCTCACTCCTCGCCCCGTCCTTCCCTGCCGCCCCTCCAGCCTCTCCCAGCCCCCCCGCCTCTCCCCTCTGGCCTCTCCCCTCCCCGAGGCCCCGCGCGCTCCCCGACTCTGTTACTTCCCGTTGCGGGGGCCCCTCCCCACTTCCTACTTCTCACCACACCAGCCCAGGTGCCACATCCTCTCCCGGCTCTGGCCCCAGTGGCCCTTCTCAGTTCCTCCGCCGCCGCTCCTGGGGGCCCCGCCTCTTCTCCTTTTTCAGCGTAAGACCTGCTCAGGCTACCAGGCGCTTTCCCCCGCCTCGTGAGTAAGATGGCCCAACCCGGAGGCACGAGGAGTGACAACGGTCCTGCAAAGATGGGCCACACCCGGACACCCGGCCCTGTCTCTGTGCCCCTGGCAGAACAGTCCGCAGCACTGCCGTGCGGGGACAGCGCAGGTGCTGAGCATTCCAGTGCGGGCAGGACCAGGTTGAAAGACAAAACAAAAAGGCCTCCTCTTGCCCACCGAGAACCGAGTTTGGTGGGCGGCACGGGCCGGTGGACACACCGTCTCTGCACGAGGAGGGACGGAAAGAGGGCCGGGCAGCCGAGGGAGCAGGGGGGGTTCGACGACAGTGTCCTGGCAAAGGCGCCACCAAGGCTGAGGGGTTGGCGATGCTGGGAGTGTGGGCGCGAGAGGGGAACAGGGCCGTGAGACGCCCACTTGGGCAGAGGGGGCCAGGCGAGCAGAGTTTGGAGACAGGTGAGAGAGTCTGGCAGGGGACTGCCTGAACCCCAGCTGCTGGGGTTTCCCGGGGCATCGCCTGCCGGGCTCAGGCACAGGCAAGGCCACGGAGGTCACCCAGCCAGGCTGGCTAGGGGCCCTGGCGTCACGAGAAGGAGCATGGGTGGGCAGCGGGCAGAGCGAACTTCCAGGACACAAGGCTGAGACAGGGCGGCCAGCTGGGAAGTCGCTGGCCAGCCCCAGGACAGCGCAAGAGGTGACCCTTGCCAGCCAAACCTGATGGCTGACCGTCTTCAGGGCCCGAGCCGAGGGGGGTCGGCCTGTCCCCGAAGTGTGTGGCTGGGCGGCCGCACGCGAGATGGGACGGAGGGCGCCAGCGGGTGCTGCGGCCCCCGGCGGCGTGCAGAGGGCGCGCCTTGTGCAAGGCTGGGCGTCGGAATGCAACGCCCGAACGCAGCAGCAGGGCACAGGCGGGGCTGAGGACTCCGTGGCACAGGTGTGGCGGTGGAAACGACACCTGCAAGTCAGCTCCCGGGGGCGGCCGAGTGCGGACAGGACAGCGGGGGGGCGAGGGAGCAGCGCAGGAAAGACGGGCTTCTGGGCAAGAGCGGGACGGGCTGAAAGGGGCAGAGCGGCAGATGGACCGCAAAGGCGGGCGTGGGGGTCGGGGGCCAGGGGCCGGGGGGTGGCAGCGGTCAGGCCCGGAGGGGCAGGAGCTAAAAACTGCGCCAAGGCCCGTCGTCAGCACAGACATCGCCGCCTGGGCCAAGGAGACCCCGCAGCGGCCGGACCGTGAGCCCCGAGTGGCCGTGAGGACGTGGGGGCGGGAGCCGCAGGAGACACTCGCAGGAAGAGCAGCTGACGCGTCACTGGGGAGGGCAGCGCGGCCGAGGGGCGGGGGATGGCCGGGCTGGACGGTGTCTGTGCTCGGAAGGAGCCCTCGGCCCTGCACACGGACTTCCTGGTTTCGCCCCGACCCACAGGGTGGCTCCGGGGGCTGGGCGTCCTCCCGCAAGTGAAAGGTGCCGGCCGGTTCCCGGTCAGGGCACGTGCCTGGGCTGGGAGTGTGGCCCCCGACGGGGGCGTGTGCGAGAGGCAGCCCACCCATGTTTCTCTCCCTCCCTCCCTCCCCCTCTAGACTAAATAAAAGGAAAAAAGAATTAAAAGCAAATTCCTTGTGCATACCCTTCACATCCCCTTGAATGCCATGTCTTTGGAGGCCCATGTTGTCCCCATTCCCCCCACTGGGTCCTCCTTGGTCAGGCCCCTGCGCCCCCCCCCACAACCTGCAGCGTCCCAGCGTGTCTGCGACTCACCCAGCAGCACCCACAGAACGGGAGGCGGAGAGCGGGCCCCGAGAATGCCGCCCAGCGCCATGGCCACCGAGTGAGGGGTCTCTGCAGCGGCCAACACCCCGATTTTCATCAACATGAAACCTCCCAAATTAGAAAAGAGGAAGCGAGCCCAACTGTCTCCTCTCCTGCATCTGCGGCCCATTTCCCACCCTGATTGGCTCCCATCCCTCGGCTGGGGAGGACTGTGCTCCCCGAGACCCCAGACTCCCACGCCGGGGCCCAGAGAGCCTCCAGGCCCACCGCGGTCTGGCCCCCGCCCGGCCGCACACGCGGGGAAAGGCAGCCGCAATGCCCTTCGCTGGCGAAACCGCCGCGGACAGGGGCGGGGAGGTGCCCAAACGCTGCACAGAGGGCCCTGCAAGGGCAGAGGGCGTTCCGGTCCCCCGTGTCCCGTCCCACACCTTCACGCTCCCAGTGACCGTGACGGCGCACGGCGGCACACGGGGGGGGGGGGGGCAAGAGGACGGACGTGGCACCGAGTCGGACACCAGCGGCCCCTCCCGGGCTCCGGCTGCCCCAAGGCCGCGCAGACCTGCCCCTGGGCTCGCAGGTCTGCAGCCCGTCCACGAGGCGGGTGTCGGGGGCCATCGGAGCTCGGTGCAGAGAAGCACCGGGGAGCCGGAGAAACCCGGGGACCCAGGGACGGGGCGGGGGGGGGGGGCGACCTGGAGGCAGCAGCGTCTGCTCCAGCTCACAGGCCCCTGCACGGCCCCTCACTGTCTGCCCTGAGGCTGTGGCTCCACCCATGGAGACCTCCCTCTGCTCCCCATGCCACCACCGTCCCCGCCAGGCCCCCAGGGGTTGCAGGAGGTGACACCTGAGCCCTCAGGAACCGGGGGGGGGGGGCAGTCCTGCGTGAAGGCGGGGGTCCGGCCTGGCCCTCCAGCTGCGAAACCGCAGACGAGAGCAGGCGTGCGAGCCCCGTGGCCCCAGGGGTGGGTGTCTTGCCGTCTAAAATAAGCCTTTACAGCAAAGTTTCCATTATCGAGGGGCATGCACGCTGGTGCAGGCGGCCCCGAGGAGCCCGGGCGGCTGCGCGTCGGGGTGTGGGAGGCAGAGGGCCCTGCACTGGCCCAGCAGCCCCGGGCCCACCCACGTCTCGTCGTGACCCACAAAACATGCGCCAAAAATGGGTCACGGGCTGAGGCGCCAAGTGGGGAACTACACACCTTCTAGAAAGATCCAGGAGGACTTGCCCTGGCACCCAAAGCCGGCCTGGGTGCCCGGAGCACGGTCTCTCGCGGACGGCGAGTCCCCTGGGGGTGGGAGAACCACCAGCCGGCAGCTTGCAGAGCGTTTGCCACAGGCGTCTGATGAGAGGCGCTCCTGCCGATGCAAATGTCCGTACGGTTTACATGCTCGGGTGGAACCGCACTTTCCTCGGAAACAAAAGAGAAATAAGGAATATTTCATTCCAGGGACACAGGAGCACAGAAAACAGGGAAACTGTTGAGGAAATATCTCAGATGACTTTAAATCTATACACATTTCTTTGTGTTAAAGAACACAAAAGACCCCCTGGCTGGTGTGGCTCAGTGGATTGAGTGCTGGCCTGTGAACCAAAGGGTCACTGGTTCGATTCCCAGTCAGGACACGTGCCTGGGTTGCGGGCCAGGTCCCCAGTTGGGAGCGCACGAGAGGCAACCACACATGGATGTTTCTCTCCCTCTCTTTCTCCTTCCCTCCCCCTCCAAAAGAAATAAATAAAGAAAATCCTTAAAAAATACCAAAGTATCAGAAATAAGAAAGAGTATATTAGTTAGGGCTAAAGATTATTAGGAGTATAAAAGAGAACACAGTGTACGCACGAGAAAGCAAGTAAGGTGGAAGGCCTGACCAGAAAACCGAAGGTAGTTTTGCGAAAAGAGCAGTAGAACAGATCTCTGATTAGGACAAGTCTGATTAGGACAAGCAGAGTAAGAGATAAAGGTGTCTCTCTGGGAGTCAACCACTGAGCAGCATTTTATTTAATATCTGCACAAGAATGCTGGTCATGTGTCACAGAAAACTCAGTTACAGGGAACTGAGTTTACGTCCCTAAGGAGGGACTGCTGATGAGAAGCAAGACACTCCCCCTGGAAGATCCCCGGGAAGGTTCGGGAACTAGGGGGGTCGGAGGGCAATGCGAGAGGTGGGTCAGGAATGGTTCCGAAAATGAGGGCTCAGCTGGAGAGCCAGCCTTCGGGGGCCTTTCCCCCACCCAGGGGACACAGGTGTTTCCAGGTGGCTGCTCTGCCCAGCCCCGTAGTTCACTTCTCCGGGGAAACCGAGCCAGCCAGCAGGTACAGGTGACCCGAGGTGAGTCGAGTGAAGACAAGGGGGGCACCGAGGACATTTGCACCCTGTCACCAGCCGCCCTTTCTCAGGATGCCCGGAAGGCATGCTGCAGCCAGGCAGGGAAGTAAATCAAGAAATTGGAAGGTGTAAGATTCAGGGAAAAGGGGATTTAACACAAAAGACAGATGAAGGGAAGTCCCAGACAGTGGCTTGCAGGCGCAGAGAGGCTGCAACAATCCAAATTCGTGTCAAAGGACAGAGAATCCCAGGGCTTCTTGGGACAGGGCTTCTTGCTGAGAGAGACGGGGGTGGGGGAGGGAGGAAGAAAAGAAGAAAGGAAGAAAGAAAGAGGAAGGAAGGAAGAGAGAAAGAGAAAGAGAGAAATGGAAAAACTGCTTGGTCATTTGACCCCATGGGAAATAGCATTAAGCTGCTTCAGAATGTTCTTGAAGGCTCTGGTTAAAACTAAAAATAGGCACACAGAGAGCCAAACAAAGGACAACATGAGGCAGTTATCATCTCTAGAAGGAAAGCAGCTTGTAGGGGAAGGAAGCGTGATCAGGGAGCGCCGTCTCGGCGGGGAGCACCGGCCAGAAGACCTCGAGGACAGCCGGCGGCCGCCCTGGGAGAGGAGGAGCGGGGGGTGGGACCTGCTACCCCTCGGCCGGTGCTCGGGCCCCACAGCGGGAGACGGGTGGGTGACCGCTGACACGGGAACACCAAAACATGGCGGTCAGGGAGCAGGCGGCACAGTGAAAACTACTGGGAAAATGGCCCTGAGAACAGGGCTGAGGGCGTGCGAGGGACGAGCAAGAAGCAGCTACTTCTTGTCGCAGCCTTGGGTGCTGCGACCCAACGCAGACTCACCGTAACGGAAAGGAAAGGTTTCCTGAAAACCGAGAGGAAGCGTTGTCTTCCCATGGACCCTGAAAGACATCGTCACGCTGGAATAACCGCAAAGAAAAAGACAGTGGAGGTAAACCAAGGAAATCACTCTAACGACACCTGGAGTTCCGAAGAAAATAGAACTGAAGCTAGAGATTATCCAGCAGCCAATAATGGCAAGAGCACACATCAAAACATCCAACGGATGCGGCCCACACAGCAGCGAGAGGAACAGTGGTAGCCTTTGGTGACTCTGTGCGAAACCAGCTGAGAAATCAGTGGGAAATCAGTGGGCCACGCAGTCAGTCCCAACCGAGCGGAGGAAGGGCGACCTCAGGGACAAGGGAAGGGCAGAGGCTGGCTGGTCGGGTCAAAAGCCGCGACCGGACAGTGAGGCAGGCGGACCGTCGGCAAGCTCGGTTAAGACAGACAGATGTGGGGACCGTGGGGACCGTGGGGACCGGCGCCCCAACGGTCACTCTGCTGGGAAGGGTTCGGCTAAGCGACGGGAGGTGGGTCATCTCACTCCCGTGTCTGGGGGCTGACTTGGGGGGGGCGGGCGGCCCAGGTCTGACCGATAGGACACGGGGGAGACAGGTTTCCTTGCTCCCAAGGAGGAGACGGGCAGGAGAGGCCACCATTCCCCGCGTCCCCTGTCTCTCGGGCGGTGACGCGTCTTCTGCCCCCGATGGAAGGGCCGCACCCGGAGCAGCTCAGGACACCCTGTCTCTGGACTTGCCGTTGTGTGAGATAACAGTTTCCTTGTCGCTCGAGCCCATTGAATCCCGGCTTCCTGTTATTGCCATCCGAAGTCGCCCTCACTGATACGAGGGGATCCCAGGTCCGGGTTCAAGAGGGGAGCGTGAGTGCAGACACAGGCGGCGGCGTCCGAAATGGGAGAAAACACGGCACTCGGCTGCGCTCCAACTCACACGGGGGTGACTGCCTGGGAGAGTAAAGTTTCTCCAGATCGGCTCCAAAAGGGACTGAACAGCCTGATCGGACCAATAATGACAGAGACAGTAAGTCTGTCGAAGACCTCTCCTACAAGAGGTATCAAGCCCAGGTATCACTACAGCAGCACCTATCAGATCTAAGTGGACCAGTCTAAGGGGAAGTTGGTGGACCTCAGAAACCACAGGAAACAGGGTGGGTTCAGGGAGGGCCCCATCTGGGCAGCGCCTCTGGGGTGCAGGACCCTGCTCCCTCTGCTCCGGGCGTGAACTCCAGGGGAACGGTACCCCACGGCCCACTGGGCGCACGTGTCCCCTCTGGAATCGGGGATGAAGTCAGCCCACCCACCCACACAGACTGAGGGGGAGGGGGAGCTATTTTGCGAAATCAGCCACTGTTATAAGAATTGGGGGAAATTCGTGCTGCGTAGAGAACGGGAATATTGCCCGCCGTAATCAGACCGGCAAAAACGAAAAGTGCCCAGGGTTGAGCACAGTGTTAAGAAATGAGCAGGCCGATGTGGTGCGGAATATTATACAACCCTCAAAAAGGAACACCCAAAGCATGAGCCCTGCAGTTCATTGTTAATTAAAATGAACCAACCACATAGACCTACCTAGAGTATGATCACATCAAAAACAATAACAACAACAACACTATAAAAATGTGTCCTGGCTAGTGTGGCTCAATGGACTGAGTGAGGGCCAGCGAATCAAAGGCTCGCTGGTTCGATTCCCAGCCAGGGCACAGGCCTGGGTTGTGGGCCAGGTGCCCAGAGGGGGTGTTCGAGAGGCCACCACATATTGATGTTTCTCTCCCTCTCTTTCTCCTACCCTTCCCCTCTCTAAAGAAAGATAAATAAATAAAATCTTTTTTAAAAAATTCATAGATGCATACCAAAAATCCAGAAATATATACCAAATGTGCTACATCCGTCACCCGTAGAAAGGGTTATAGGATTGGGGGCGGATAGTGAGGACAAAAGCAAACTTCCATTTTCACTGTTTGTTTTCGTATTGTTTGAGCTTGCACACTCAGGAGGAGCACGGATTTTTGCCTGTGTGTATTCAGGAGTACATGAAAACAGTGTGATCCGATTAAAGAATACAAATACACATACTTGAAATGCCACCTTGATTCTGTCAAGTTCGTGGGTTCTCAGATGATCTTTTTTTAAAATTTTTAAATTTTAATTGTTGTTGCACTACAATTTTCTATCTTTTACTCCCACCCCAACCCACCCACCCAGCCCTCCCCTGGTTTTCAGATGATCTTAATGATCTTGCTTATCTGTAGTTTTGTTTTGTTTTGTTTTAACACCAATGGGTGGTTGCCTCTGGTGTGCCCCCTGTTGGGGACCTGGTCTGCAACCCAGGCCTGTGCCCTGACTGGGGTCTGAACTAGAGACCCTTTGGTTCGAAGGCCAGCACTCAATCCACTGAGCCACACCAGCCAGGGCTGCTTATCTGTATTTTAGTTTTATTTTTAAATTACTCTAGTAGAACTGGAAGTGTAAATAACGTCAAGCAGGCCACCATGCTGTCATTCATCAGCAGACGTGCACCATTCCTATAAAAACGGGCAGGAGGATGCGAACAGGAAGATCACCACACAAGACACACGAACGGCCAGCCCTCAAACTCTCTGACTCCGAAGCACGTAGCCTGGCATGGCCTGACCCCCAGTGGCCCCGTGACCGCGGGGATCGTAGCCCGACCTGAGGGTGCAGTCTGGCTGCCGGGCTGCGCGGCGTCTGCTGGAAGCCGCGGAGACCACCCATGCAGGGACGCCGCGGCGTCCTGACGGCGAGAACGCCGCGGAGGGAAGCGCGTTAGGGTCCCCAGGAGATGAGGCCTCTCCCGGGACGCCCGCGAACCCCCGGGACGCGGTTGGGCACGTCCCCAACCTGCCGGGGCGGCACGTCTCCGAGGTCAAGCCCTGCGGGTCCCCGTGGCTGGGGACAGGACAGGACAGGACAGGATGAGGCAGTGGTCCCCACTGGGGACCCACTGCAGCGTGGCTTCCTGCCGACGGGCATCACGGGGGAGACCCAGGGTGAGGGGTCCGCAGGAAGAGGAAGGAGACGCAGAGAGGAGAGCGCAGGTTCTCCGGACGAGCAGGGCACCCCCTCCCCACCGCCCCGGCCCCCTCTCCACCACCTCCTGCCCGCCGCCACCTTCCCGAGACCGTCACCGTCACCGAAGAGAAACACACCCGGGGCAGCGCACCCCCCGCCCCACACAGCCTCCGACAGGCAGCAGGAAGGTTGTTTTACATGCTTTATTATAAAAGTGATACATGCTGTGTAGAGGAAAAGAAAGGAACCCCCCCAGATTCTGTCGCCCCGCAACAGCCGCGCCAACCCGCCGGCCTGTGGTGCTCTGCTCGTCACATCCGAAACCAGACATCCGTGTAGTTTCTCCCGGGGCACGCGTGGCACACGCACTTCCCCTGTGGCCGAGCTGTCTTCACGAGAGCGCAGTTTGCTGGCCGCGTGGATGCAGACAGAGGACGTGTGATGGGGACCGGCGCCGCGGCCGGGGTCGGCGCGGCCCGTCAGCCGGGACCACATGGTCTGTGGCTGTCGGGACAGGAGCCCGGGCGTCCGGGCGGGGACACCCCCCGGAAGAGTCCTGCTCCCTGGGAACCTCGGGGGCCTCTGGTCAGGCTGGAAGACCGACCCAGCTCGCCTGGCCCTCGTGCCCACGGCTACATGTTCTGGTAATCCGAGAGCCCCGGGTCCTCCTCCGGGTGCATGAGCAGGGAGTAGGTGATGGAGTTCTCGGCCTGGAGACGGCAGGGGAGACACGGGACCCATGGAGGAGCCACACGGGAGGCAGGGGAGGGGGAGGGGCGGGGGGCAGCGGGGGCTGGGGGGCTCACCTCCGTTTTGGCAGCCTCTTCAGCCTGGGTGAGGGTGGCTGTGGACGGAAGGAACAGGTCAGCCGGGGCCCTGCTGCGCAAGGGAGGGAGCCTACTGTGCGCTGCAGTTGACACCCAAGGCCAAAGCACGCTGGAGTCCGCAAGGCCTTGCTCCGCGCCCCCACGCCCGCCCTGGGCCCCGGCAGGGCAGCAGGCGGCTGCGCCAGCGTCTTCTCGGGGTCGCTGCGTTTTCCCAGAGAGGAAGCAGGTGGCCTCGGAGGCCCGAGGCCCCGCACAGGTGGGCGGCCAGCGTCACACTGAGGTCAGGTCTGGATTTTTGCAGCCACACACTCGAAGGCGAGAAGACGGGGCGGGGGGGCGGGGGGGGGCAGGGGCGGGGCATGCTGGGCTGAGGACGCGCCCCCTTGCTGGAGCTGGAGGAGTCTGGCGACCCCCTGATGTGAAAGGAGCGAGCGAGCGAGCGCCAGAGCCAGGGCGGAGGGGGGAGGGGACGGCGCAAGCAAGCCAGTCCCCGGGCGGCACAGCCAGCCCCCTCGGGCTCCGGCCCATGCACCCCTTCCCCGGGGAAGCAGCCTCGGTGTCTGCATGGCGGGGGGGCGCCTGAGGCCACGGTGGGCAGTGTCCTCCCTGCGCCCTGGGCCAGGCGTCCCCGCTTGCCACGCTCCGAGTTCTGGGACGGTCCCCTCCCGAACGATCCTTCCCACGGCCTCGGCCCCAGTGCCGGCTGCGAAGTCGGTGCCCCGCCAGACGCACCCGGGCCAGCGCGCGCAGAGCTGAGCGCCGGAGCGGCCTGCGCAGGCCCGCGCCCCGCCCCGCCCCGCCCCGCCCCCCCCAGCGGCCTGGCCAGCCCGTGCGAAGCGCAGCTGGACAGTGCCACTCGCTCAAGCCCTCAAATCTGTTGTTCCGCTCTGAGCCACACCCTGGCCGTCCGAGGCGGCGGAGCTCCCAGGGCCCCTTCCCCACCTGGCTCTGCCCTGAGTTCCCTCACGCTCTGGCTCCGAGGGCGGTCAGGATGCCGCCTGGAGCCCCTCCCCACAGTCCCACCGGGCCAGGCTCTCAGCAGCTCGGACCTGAGGGGGCTCTCGTCCTCAGCGGGGTCTGAACCCACGAGGCCGACGACTCGCTAAGGGTCCCACTGCGCCGTGGAGACCAGCTCGGGCCAGCCCACGGCAGCAAGCTTAGACCCGAGCTTGGCCCGCAGAGCCCACGGGTGCCGCTGGGGCCCCAGAACGTCCTGTGGCAGCTGAGCCTGGGCAGGCTCCCCGACAGACCCGGGGTCCTCCCTGGCCTCCTCCTTCCCTCTGAGAGCCCTGCGCCCCAACCCTGCTTCAGCCTCGCCTCTGCACCCCCGCCTGGCGCCGCGCCGCAGCCACGGCCCCCCGAAAACCCGACTGTCTCTCCTGTCCTCCGGCTCTGGAGATTTCCCAGCATTCCTAACCCCGGGAAGCCCGACCCTGGCGAATTCCCACCCCTCTACCTGGCACAGGTGCGCTGCCCGCCCCCGCCCCCGAGGAGGTCCTCTTCAGGCCCAGGTGTTAGTCTCAGAGCTGACCAAGCGACTTGAGCCCCGCCCGCCTCCCCCGCCCCCTCCCTCTCCCCGTCCCAGGTGCCATGCTGACCTCACACAAGCCACGTCCTGCTCCCATGCACCAGGCAGCCCCGGGCGGGGCAGCAGGAGCCCCCGGGGGCTGCACTCACCTGGTTCCTCAGGTGGGGTCTCTCCCACTTCCCTGCTCTCAGGGGCTCCTGGGAGGGTTGGGAGGGCACACAGGTCAGTCGGCGAGGGGCGGGGCCCGAGTCCTCAGCTCGGAGGACCAGGGAGGCACCGGGTTGGGACCAACGAGGGGCCTCCAGACCCGCCCTCCCCTCCGGCCGGGCACCTCTCCTGCCCCGACTGCAAAAGGACCTGCTCCATCCAGAGCCCCTCCTGGCTTTTCAGCGAGGCCATCTGCTCCCTGCTTTTCTCGGCGCTCCCCCCCCCCGGCCCCCCCAGCGCTGGGCATCAGCCAGTTCGGGTTAACATGAAGTTCCTCCGCCGACGGGCCAGCGAGCTTCCAGTGGGGGCGCCTGCCGGCCGACACCGAGACGGCCCCTCTCTCTGCCCACCTCATCTCTCCGGGTCCCGGCCGCGCGCCCTCCAAGCCCGCCCCAGCCACATGGGGCCTCGCCCCAGGGCCCCTGCCACGGCCACCCTGGGCGTCACCTCCTGCATGATGACAGTGCTGCGTCTGCGCAGTGGCCGCTGCCGGGAGGCCCGAGGCCTGGTCCTCCTCCCAACACCCCTGGACGGCGCTTCCGTGCATGGCCTCTTGTCCAGAAGAAATGACTGGGGTGCAGAGGCATCGGGGAGCTCAGCCCAGGCCCCGCGGCCGCGCGCCGGGGACCTGGACTGAACGCAGGCGTCCGCCCCCCAAGGGAGGGGGGCTCCCGTGAAAGCGTCCCTGACGCGCCCCCCCCCACGCTTCTGCCCCCCGCCACGGCCTGTGCCTTTGTCCGCCATCACCCTCATCCCGTCTCGTTGTGACGACTGCCCGTGCTTCCGTCTCCCTGGGGCGCACGCGGCTCCCTGGGGCGCAGGCTGAGCTTCTGTGTCATCCCCAGCGTCTGGCACGGTCTCCCCACCACGGAGCCAGAGGGCCCGCGTGAGTTAGCAAGTGTCGCATGCGTGAGTTAACATGTGAGTGAATACGCAAAACCCAGGGCACCCCTGAGCGCTGGGGAGCCCCGGGCCAAAGGTGAGGGTTCCGGCCCTGGGCCTGGGCCTCGTCGCAGCCCGGAGCAGGAGAAATAAGGAAAGGCCACCCACCTGCGCTCTGGCTCTGCCTGAGGCAGACCCAGGCCGCCACGGCAGCCACAGCGGCCACGACAGCGATGACCACGACCACGGCCACAACGATGGTCACCGGGAAGGAGCTGTCGTCCCGTCTGCCTGCGGGGGAGGACAGAACTCAGGACAGGCCGCCTGCCCCCTCCCGCCCCTGCTCCCAGTGCGGCTCCCTGTGTCTGGGCTGCGCACGGGGCGGCGCCTCTGGCCCCCCAGCCTCGCCTGCCAGGGGTTTCTCTGCATGGCTGGGCCTGTGACCCCCATCCCCGCACCTGTTCACTGACCTAAAGCGCACTGTGATGGGGTGGGGGGTCCTCTGAGAGTTCAGGGGTCACGGGGAGGGGAGCCTGAAGCCCCCACGGTGCAGGCACCGTCCCTGCGCCCAGCACAGGCCCGACAGAGCGATGGATGGACGTGAAGGCCTCGGCTCCCGGCGTCCAGGGTCTCGGGGCCCCCGCACCCGTGAGGGAGGCCCGCTGTCCCGCTGTCCTGCTGCGGGGCCTCTTCCCCTGGAAGGGGAGCTCTGAGCTCCGGCCCGTCCTCCTGCCCTGCGCCCCGGGGTCCGCCTGCACTGCTGGGCGGCTTCCCAGACCTCCGGGGGGGCTCCTGCGACCTCGGCCCGACCTGCCACCCCCTCGCCTCACCTCCTGCTGCCAGGACAGCGCCCCCACCTTGGACAGTGATGTTCACAGGGTTGGACTCGTGCTTCATTCTCCCGATGAATCCGGAGCAGTGGTACGTGCCGCTGTGACTGACGTTAGCGTGCGGGACGAAGAAGCTGGAATTGGCAGGGGAGTACCGCCTGGAGACGCCGTCCTGGAGGAACTGGATCTTGAACAGAGGCCGGTTCTGCCAGCTGTGGCACCTCAGCAGGAGGTGGTCGCCCTCCTGCAGCAGCAGGCTTGGGGTCTGCAGCAGCAGCCAGTCTGAAGGACACAGAGGGGACACGGGACCCCGGAGGTCAGGACTGAGCTCGGAGACCCAGGGCACGCCGACCACGGGACAGGCTGTGGGGAAGGAGGGGCTGCGTGGGCACCCTGGCGCCCTGCTTTCTCCCTCTGGCTCCCTCACGGGTGAGCTCTGCCGTCGCAGCTCCCTCGTCCGTGAGGGTCCGTGAGGGTCCGTGAGGGTCCGTGAGGGTCCGTGAGGGTAGACAGAAAGACACGCGGGCCCTGGGTGCCCAGGGAGTGCTGGTCCTCCCTTTGCTGCCCTGGGAGTGGCGGCACCACCCCGTCCCGCCTGGCAGGCCTCTGCGGGGAAGGGAGACCCCGGGTGGAGGTGACAGGGTCCGTTCCGACGCAGCACACCCACGCCTTTGGGGACGGCAGAAGGTGGTGGACATTTGGTGAAAGTTGGGGAGTGTGGCGCTTCCGTCAGGGGTCTTTGTCGGAAGCCCTCCGTGACCCAGGGGGGCATTGGTCTGCTGTGAGAGTTCCCCCACTTTTCACCCTTGTCCTGAGGAGGGGAAGTGTTGAGTGTTTTCTTCTGCAGGGAAGAGTGCCCGAGGGCGGCGCTGGGACTCCTGAGCTCAGCCCGCACGCCCCTCCCCCCCCCCAGCTGCAGGGCCGGGGCTGCAAAGAAACGTGGGCCCGGCGGCGGCAGCCCAGGACGGCCCAGGCCGCAGGAGTGGAGCCAGCCCCACGTGTGCCAGCCCCGCCGTCTCCGTCCCTGCCGCACGTCGGAGCCAGGCCGCCCCAGGCCGCCCGAGGCCACCCCGGCTGGCAGCGTGCCGCATGCGGGAGAGGTTGACGACCGACCGAGGGAAAGCTCGGGGCCCCCGCCACCCGCGGGACAGCGGGGAGGGACGGCGCGTCCCACGAGCTGGAACGCCCTGCGTCTCTGCTGGGAGACACCCCCGCCCCCTTCTCCAGTGTCAGCACCCCTCACGTCCCGTGTCCCCCCACTCCCCCCGGGAACGGAGGCCCCTGGGCTCCCCAGGGGGGGTGGGTGGGGAGGCAGAGGAGGGTCAGGATTTCCAAAAACGGAGTAGAAGCCAGAGAACGTCACAGCTGCCACTGGCACAGCCCTTCCGTCCCTGGGAGCTTCTGCTGCTCCAGGTCACAGGGGGCCGAGGGGAGGGGGGGCCCCAGGCCGGTCTGTGCCGGGGGGGGGGCAAGGTTCCTGGGGACACGTCTGGGTGCCACTCCCGGCTGTGGGCACGGCACTAGGGAGATGCCCCCCAACAGAAGGGCCTTTCTGTCGGTTTCCTGGGAAACGCCTGTGCAGGCCCCTGGGAGCCTCGTAGACAGAGCAGCCACAAACACCCCTCCCCCGCCCGACTCAGGGTGGGGGCCGGCACAGCCCAGTACAGGGCCCAGGGCCCCGTCTCCACGCCGGCCCTCCGTGTCTTGGGGCGGAGGGTGTCCCCACGGCGGTGACAGTGGCCCTGGGTCCTGGCATCTCTGCTGGGTGAGCCCAGCTGGCCTCTCGAAACTCGCTCATTTTTTTTTTTTCTGCCTTCAGCCAGAACTGGTGGCCGCAGCTCACGGAGCAGAACCTCTCGGAGACACGAGACCGCCCGACACTCGGGACACTGGCCTTCCTGTCCGCGCGGCAGATGGGCCAGCCCCCCACAAGGGCGCCCGAATGAGTCTCGCTCAGCTCTGTCCCGGCCACGTCTGCCGCAGCTTCTCGCTCGCCCTGGTTCTGCTTCGTGCTGGACACGGAAGCCTTCAGTGGTCTGGGTGGCAGCCGGGGCTTCCCAGGGGCCTGTGGGGGTGTGAGTCACCCGTCCGTCTGGACCTGTGGCCGAGGCAGGGGGCGGTGCTCACGGGCCGGCCCACACGCCGCTCTGGGTCCCCGCCGGCGTGCCGGCCGCCTCCGCCGGCTCTGTGCTGCCCCCGGAGGTGCCTGGGCGGCAAGCGCTGAACCCCCGCCCCCGCCCCGGGGAGACTGTCTTGACAGCTGACGTCGGGTTAGACATGCCCAGCAGGTGCCCAGGGGAGGGGACAGCAGGGACCTGGCGGTGATGGCCGAGGGGCAGCCAGCGTTGTCAGCACTGGGGCTGGTGGAGCTGGAGCCCCAGTGGGGGGACAGGGCTGGACCTGCATGTGGGGGGAGCACTACGGCTGCCTGCCTCGGGGGACACCTGCGTCCTGCTGACCTCTCTGGCTCCTGGGCCCCGTGTGGGCCGCCGGCCAGGGTCCAGCTGTCCTGGGCCATTCCTGGGGCAGTTGCCACTACTGCCCGCTCCCAAGGGCTCTCGGACCCTGGGGTGCCACTCCCACCGCCTCCCTCACCTCGGCTGCGGTGGCGGGATGGGCTGAGGCCCCGGGGTGAGCCAGAGCTGCAGCGAGGGCCCGGTGAGAGGCCTGGAGGAGCAGAGACAGAGGGGCACAGCTGTGCCCTGCTCAGTGGCTGGGCAGCGGCCTGCGGGCTCCTTGCTGCCCAGTCCGGCACCGGCACAGGCCCCAGAGGCATGAGCCTGCCTGACATCCGGGACGCTGGCACCCCCCAGGTGAGCTGGGGCCTCAGGTGAGCTGGGCGGCCCAGGGTCCAGTTTTCCCGCCTTCAGTTTTTCAGCCGGGCCCTGGGCACACGTGGGCCCAAGTGCGTGGGGCTGGGGGTGCTGGCTGCAGCAGCTCCCACAGAGGGGTGACAGGCAGGGCGGGAAGGGGAATGGCCGGGCAGACACGGCGTCCAGCGGCTCACGGCCACACCCCCCCACCCCCGTCCCTGAGCACCCGCGGCCCTGCCGGCAGCAGCCACGACCAGGGGCTGGCGGAGAAGCTGGTGGAGGGTGGGGTGGGTGGACGCCCGCGGCCTGGGTGCTGGTCTGCGGCCACAGGGAGCTGTGCCCCAGTCACGTGGGAGCTGCCCCTGCCCCGGGAGGCCCAGTGGGGGGCCAGAACTTCGGGTGGCTGCTGGTCACCGAGTCCTCCAGGGGCATCCAACTCATCGCTGGTCCCGTTGGCTGGTGGGGACTTGCCTGTCTCAGTGTGTCCCCCCCTCCCTGAGGGGCAGGGCCACCCGGCCCCCCCTCGGGGCCCATCCCTCGCTGCTGGGCCGGGGCAGAGCAGCCCGATGGCCTTCTGTGCACTTCTGAGGGGGATCTGGGCACGAGCTGAGGAGAGGGGACGAGTGACGGTGGCCTCGCTGCCCCGTCACCCGCGCACTTCACGGATAACTGCCTGCTGCCGGCAGCGCTGTGAGCTCCGCCGCCCGGTCAGCAGAGGGACGGAGCCGCCCTGAGCCAGACTGGACATGCTCGTGGGGGGTGCTGGGAAGTGAGCCTGAGGGGGGCCGGAGCCCCCACGGAGCAGAGGGGAGACGGAGACTCAGGGCGGAGCGGGGCGGCTTCCTCGGCTGGAGCCCCCCAGGGCCGGGGCCCAGCCTCGACCCAGCTGTGCCGGGAACTCGGGGCCCTCTGAAGTCAGGGCTTCCTTCTGCTCCCTCCACCCCCACCCCCGGGGGCCTGTGCATGGCCTTGTCACCTTCTTGCTTCACCAGGACTGAGGCCAAGCACCCTCGCAGTCCTGGGGCACCCCGCATGGAAGCAAGGGGGGGCGGGGCGGGAAGGGAAGTGACTGGGCAGAATCGGCTTCCAGCGGCTCGCGGCCACGCCTCCCAGGCACCGGCCACCCTGCCCCCCGGCACGCGCAGCCCGGTCAGCAGGTCTCAGGTCCTCATCCCCCAGACCCTTGCGGGGCGGCCCCACTGACCGGAAGTGACGTTCAGATGCACAGGGTCGCTGAGGCCGGTCTGGCCCGTCTGGCACCTGTAGTCCCCACTGTCGCTGAGGCTGGCTTTGAAGCTGAAGCGGGGCTGGACCTGGGCCAGGATGGGGGTCCCGTCCCTGGACCACTGGGTGGGGCCGTCCGCAGGGCCGTGGGGCCCCTGGCAGTGCAGAGTCACGTCGTCCTCCCGGAGCACGTTGAACCAGGGGGGCTCCAGGCGCACCACGGCCTTCGGGGGACCTGCCGAGGGGCGGACAGAGGAGCCTGAGACGGCAGGACGCAAGCAGCCTCGAATCTCAGACGGGGGGCCCCTGTGGTCCTGCTGGGGACGCCAAGAGCAGGGCAGCCCCGAACTGGGTGCGGCTGAAGACAAAGCCTGTCACCCCCTTCACGGGCCAGGGCCTCGCTGGGGGCCCGGCTGCTGCTCGGGCTGGGCAAGGGCCAGGAGAACGCAGCAGGGGCGGGGCCACACTCCAGAAAACGGCAGCTCACCAGGGAACCCCAACCAGCTGGCGCTCGCTCTCCCTCTCTCTCACACACGTGCACACACACCCCCTCGTGGGGACTCACTTCCCCCACCCCCGTCACCTGGACCCGGTGGGCAAACCCTCCCCAGAGCCGGGTGACGAAAGAGGGGCAGGTGCCAGGTGGAGAGCCCAGCGCCTGGTTTCTGTTCTGACCTCAAGTCCTGCTCTGTCCCTCAGGACAGACCCGTCCTCACCCCCAGGCACAGAAGGGCAGAGAGAGTGCGAGAACGGCGGGGGGACCAGTGCAGGGAGCCCTGGGCTCAGGCCGTGGGAGAGCCCCCCCCCCCCGAGGTCCTGGGAGTGGTGACTTGTGCTCCCGGAAAGCAGCGCCTGCACAGCCGCCCGGCGGCCGGAGGCGGTGGGTCTCCCTGCCCCGCTCCAGACCCCGGCGCCCGCGCACACACGCGCAGCAGAGGCTTGGCCCGCTCTGGGCCGACACTGGAAGGGCCCGACTCCTCTGACGGTGGGACTGAGCGCCTCCGCAGGGAGGAGGGTGTCTGAGAGGGAGGGGGGGGGGTTACCGGGGTGGCAGTGTCTACCCCGGCCCCCGGCCCCGAACCAGAAGGCAAGGCCCCTGGCAGCTGGGAGCAGGGGGCAGAGGAAGCAGCTGCCTGCCCTGTCCCCACCTGGGCCCAGGGGCTGGCAGACGTGCAGGCAGGTGCTGGGAGCAGAGTGGGGGCGCGGCTGGGGGCCGGGGGGCCGGACTTACCCTGTGGGCTGGGAGTCCCAGCTGCGGAGGCCGCGGGAGCTGCGGGAGAGAAAGCGGCGTCACTCGTTGGCACCGTAAGCCGCCTCCTTGCAGCTCCCGGGGGCCCCGCCCCCCTCTGTGTCCACTGCACCTCCCATGTTGCCCGTGTGCGGCCAGGCTTCACCGAGACCGGCAGGGTGGCAGGCAGGTGGGCGACTCCGCAGACGGCCGGTCGCTGTGCTCCCGAGGACCCTGAGCTGCCGGGAGGCACTTGCCCCGCGCATGTGCTCTGCTGCTCTCGGGAGGGACACTCGTGTCTTCTCGCCCCCCCCGCCCCCCCCGGGCTCTCCTGTCCCCTCCCGACCCCTCGGACCTCGGCCGGCCTCCCCCACCGAGCCCTCAGCCCATGGGCCTCCCTGCCCTGCTCCTTCCTCGCTCCGCTCCCTGCGGGCGGCAGCCTCTCCACCTCCCTGGGGGGCCGGTCCCCTGCGCCCCCTCGAGGGTCCCTCTCTGCGGCCCCCTTTCTCCCCTGCACCTGTCTCCTCCCCAGCCGCGTGTCCCAGTGACGGAGGCGTGTTCCGGCACCTTCCGTAAACAGAGGACCCTCTCACTGGGCCCCACGTGGAATTCCACACTCGCTGGCCTCTCCCCCTCACAGCCAGACGGCTCCGTTTTTTCTGCATCAGCCACCCCCGTCTCCTCCGGTCACTGTGTCACCCTCTGCCCCCGAACCCCCCCCCCGTCTGCTAGAACTGAAGTCGTCAGAGGGACACGTGGCACCTCTCTCCCGGTCCCCCTGCTCCGTGCGGCACCCTGCGCCCAGCCTCTCCGGCTTCTCCTCGCGCCCTCCCCCCGGGCCCCACCCCCTCACACCGACGCAGGTCTTGCTGGCTCTGCTTCCGACAAAGATCTTGGGTCCCGGGTCCCCCCCAGCCTCCCCCCATCTCCCCGCCTCTGTCTCCCCTGCAACCCCTTTCCCACCGAGACGCCAGCCATTTCAAACACATCGCACTGGACTCGTCACTCTCCTCTCGTGTGCCCGCGGTGGCCTTCCTTTGCTCTCAGCAGAAGACACGCCCACGACCCCAGGACACGCCGGCCCCCGAGCCCCCTTCCCCACTCACCGAGCTCCGGTCACACCGGCCACCAACGGGGGCCTTCGTCTTCGCCGGCCCCCCTGCTCTGAACGGCTTCCCTTGTCCCCCCCTGCCCGGGGGCTAAATCGTCGGGCTTGGTGGGGCCCTCAGGAAGCTCCACATCATCCCGCCCCAGCAGGCTGCCCCGCCCCCACGGCTGTCCCCCGGGGCACCCCTCCCCAGGCTGCACTTGCGCCCCGGGGTCTGTCCGGCCCGCTCACCCCCTTGGCGGGGTGTGTGCGCTCACGCAGGGCCGTGGCCGAACTGACCCCACGGCCCACGCTCTGCGGGCCGTCCCTCGAGTGACCCCAGGCGGGAGGCGGGACGGCCCCACGTTGCAGCGACGAAGGGAGGTGAAGCGGAGACCCGGGCAGGACCGGCGGGGCAGAGGCAGGAGTGAGGGGAGCTGGTGCGGGGTGAGGGTCCCAGGAGACTGGGACAGAGGCTGGGGCGGAGAGCGTGTGTGTGCGGGGCGGGCGCGGGGCAGGGGGGCGGGGGGGGGGCAGGCAGTCAGACCTCGAACGTGCCCTGCTCTGAGCCGGCAAGTCCAGGAGCAAGTGTCCCGGCCGCGGGTGGACCTGGAAGACGGTGCCCGACACAGGCGGGGGCTGGGGCGGGGGGACGGGGTGGGACGCTGGCGGCGAAGGGCAGCAGGGCGGGACGGCTGGGGCCCGGAGCAGGCGGGCCGGGCTGGGGGCAGCGCGCCAGGGGGCCGGCCAGAGATGCGGGGACGGAGGAGGAGGAGGCGGCAGAGGAAAGCGTTGGGGACACAACAGCCCCCGCCGTTCATTCCCCCACAAACAGCCGTGGACACCAAGTGTCCCCCCCCGGAGCCACCACGAGGGGTCGCAGGCCGGCGTGCAGGTCAGGGGCGCTGGCTGTCCCGCTGGCCGGCCGGCGGGTCTCCAGACCAAAGCCTGCCCCGGCGCTCACTGAATGTTTAGCAGACCAGGCCGTCTGTGGCACCGGGGCGCTGGGAAGTACAGGGCAGCGTGGCCGGGGGCAGAGGGCCCCCCGGCCCCCCTCGAGGCGTGGGCTCGGGGAGCAGGAGGCAGGAGCCCTCGGGACTGGGAGCTGTAAAAACTGCCGTGGAGAGCAGACGAGGCGGCCCTGGCCGGGTGGCGCAGTCAGTTGGAGCGCCATCTGAACACCAAGAAGCTGTGGGTTCAATCCCCGGCCGGGGTGTGTATGGGAGGTGCTGGTCGATGTGTGTGTCTCTCTCTCCGTTAAATAAACATGCCCTCGGCCAAGGGTTAAAAAGAATAAGAGAGAGAGGGCCAGACCCTGGGTGACGGAGCAGAGGGGCGAGTGACAGGAACCGGCAGGAGTCGCCGGGACCCGCCCAGGAGGCGGGGTCGGTGGCCGAGGCGCAGAGGCAGGTGCCAGTCCTGAGTGTCACGTGCGAGGCGCTGTCAGTCACGTTCAGGGCCCAGGGAGAGGCGTGTGTCTCCCTCTGGGGCCCCCCCGAGGTGGATGAACTGGCAGCTCCAGGAACTGAGCTTGGGGACAGTCCCGGCAGCAGGTCCCCTCGGTGGCCTGCCCTGGGCTCCCCCCCCAGCAGCCCCAGCCCCTGGCCCTGGCTGAGCACGGTCAGCCTCCATCTTGGCCCGAGACCCTGGCTCTGTCCCCACCCAGGGCCCGGGCTCCCACCTGCGTGCGGTGCAGGCAAGCATGATGATGGGGTGGCCCCAGGGAAGGAAAGAGGTCTCTGCTGCCTGACGTGGGGTCAGGGGAGCAGAGAACAGCCACTGCCCCCCAGGTGTCTTCTGGCTCCCCCTGCCCCTGTCCGAGGGCTGTTAGCCTCCCCCACCCCCCCAGGAAGGAAGGCAGCCGCCTGCCTCCCCGCCCCAGTCATCCAAGTGCACGTCCCCAGACTTTCCTCGAAGCAGGCTGCTCTGAGGGGGCGGCGGCGGAGCACCAGAGACCCAGGTGCCCTGGGAGGTCAGGCAAGGGACACTCCCAGAACCGCCAAACCCTGCCCCATCACACTTTGCCGCGCCGGCAGGTGGTCCGGGCGCGCTCTCAGCAGCCCCACCTTGCTGACATCCTGCCCCGTCTGCCTGTCCCGCACCCCCACCCCAGCACAGCCCCACCCAGGGGGGCCTGCCGGCCCCATCTCTGCGCCTCTGTCCCCCCGGGACCCTGACTCACCCAGGACCAGCAGAGCTGTCCACAGCAGCATGTGGCCCCAAGGACGGCGGGACGGGCCGCCAGCCCGGTCACTCGCCGCGGCAGGGAGGGGCAGGACGGAGGGGACCCCCATGGCCCCTACAGCGGTGTCCCGAAGGCACGGGCAGGCCAGCCGGACTCTCTGGGAGGCTTCACCACCGGCTGCACCCCAGGGACCAGCCGGCTCTGAAGTCCAAAAGCGGAAGTGAGAGGCAGCGTTTTATCACAGGCCCCTCCCTCCCTCTTTCCTCCGAGCCGCTCCCTCCCTGAAGACGCAGGCAGGGCTTCCCAGAATCAGGCTCAGCCCGCTCCAAATTCACCGAAATTTTAGAAACTGGGAAGCAACTTCCTCCTCTTCCTCTGGGGTCACTGCCGGGCTCAGCCTCGCGGAGAAAGAGGGGACGGTCGTGGGACTGGGCTGGGGGCTCCCGCCTGTCTCTGTCCCCTGGGAAAGGTGACTCCGGACAGTGTGTCACCTGCAGTCACACGGGGCTTGTCCTGCCTGCAGTCACACAGGAAGGCCGGGACGCAGGGCCGGCCCTGCTGGACTCAGCGAAGGGCGCAGACCCCGCACCGTCACCCGGGGGTCTTCACTGTCATAATCCCGACCCCCTTTCAGGGAGTGGGACGAGACGGAGCGGTGTGTCGGCACGGAGGGGGCAACGGCGCCCACCCACGCTGCCCCCTTCCCACTCGGGCTGCTACCCTCTCTGGTGTTCACTAAACTCCCGTGCCCCCCGGCGGGTCCCGCAGCCCGAACCGGGACCGAGGGCTGGCTCAGGAGCTCGGAGCTGCGCGGGTGTCGGCTGGGACCCCAGACAGCTTCCGGAGACTTCCGGCTCCTCGTCTGCAAAAAACGAAGGCCCTCCACGCAGGGCTTCTCGGATTCCGTGCCGGTGGCATTTGGGGCCAGGTGACCCCATGGCGAGGACCCGCCCGCACCTTGTGCACCTTGTGCACCTTGTCCGGAGTCTGGCGCCCCCGGCTGTGAGCGCAGACGAGTCCCCTCGGCTGAGAAGCGACTTTGGAAAACACAGAGGGTTCGGAGGGTTCAGGTGCCCGGGGCGCGGCCCCCGAACGCTGCTTCTTTCTCTCGCTTCCTGTCCCCGTCCTCTCTGTCCTTGTCGCCCCAGCACGGGCCCCGCCCGGCGTCCCCAAGGGGCAGTCAGTCAGTGCTCAGGGGCATGACCTGGCACCGGGGCCTTCAGAGCCTCAACCGCCCGGGGCCCTGACCACAGGCTTGGCCACCGGCGCCTCCAGCCCTGACCTGACTTCGGGTGAAAAACTCAGATCTTTGCCCGGGGGGCGTCTTCAAGCCTCGTCTCTGTCTTTGTTTCACTGTGACTCCTGCTGGCGCGAGCCTCCTCAGGGGCAGAGTCGTGGGGAGCAGGGCTCTGGACCAGCCACACGGATGATGACACAGGATGATGATGACACGGGATGATGAGGATGACACGGGAGGACGCAGGATGGAGCGGAGGTCCTCAGGTCCCGGCTCAAGAGGGCGCCGCAGGACGGCAGGCCCCCCGCCCACTCTGGGGAGCTCGGGGCCCAGGTGGCCAGGGGGCGTGGGGCAGTCGGGCTGGCTGCGTCCCCCACGGCTGGGAGCCTGCGTGGCCACGCTTCCCTCCGTCTCCACCGCCGCCGCCGCCTGGAAGGGGAGCACTGCCGTCCGTGTCTCCCAGGCTCTCGCCGAAGGGGAATCGATTTGATCACTGGGTTTGCCACCGAGGACCCCGCTGGGTCCGAGACCCCGGGACCTGCAGCGCTGCCTGTTGTGACACCGCCCTGGTCCCAGAGCCTCAGTGTCTCTGGGCCAAGGGGAGCCCCCTCTGCACCCCAGTCAGTCTCCCCACCTCCAGGTCGCAGCCAGCAGAGCAGCAGCGCCCGGCAGGTGAGCCCTGGAGGACCCCCCCAACCCGCCCCTGCGCTCCCCCTCCCACGGCCGCACCGCCTGCGTGGGAGCCCGGCCCGAGTCTGTGTCACCTCTGCAGGACCAGCACCCCTCCACGCCCAGGGAGCTCGGGGTGCACACAGTAGGAACACGGTCGGAGCTGCGACCCAGCGAACTGCCCACGGCCAGGCCGACACACCACCCTGGGCTGCACCCCTCAGCCGACTCACATGGGAATTCCCAGGAGACTTCAGGGTTCAGAAGGTACCTGGCAGGTCCCTCATGCTCCAGCTCGCAGTAATTAGGGCAGTGCAGCCACCCCCCAAAAGCCCCTAGACTCTCCGGCCAAAGCCCGAAGCCAAAGTCAAGGGCTAGGAAAGCCCTCGGTTGTCTTGGGGCTGAAGAGGGCGGCGCCCACACGGCGGAAAACACCACTTGGTGCCCTGGACTCGCACTGGGGGGGGGGGGGGGGGTAGCTGAGACCCAGCCACAAAAGGCCATTGAAGGAGCCGCTGGGTCTGACCACGTGGTCTCCTCGGTGAGGCCTCTGGCTCTTCCACCCAGGTTGGTCGGGGTGGGGCAGGGGCGGCTGTGAGCGGGGCCTCCCAGTGTGGGGGGGCCATCCTGCCAGTGGTCTCCGCGGGGCTCCCTTCTCCCAAAAGCTTCAAGTGCAAGCACGCAGCCACTGGGGACCGGACAGAGGACCCCACTCAGCGTGGACCCCGGCCACGGGATGAGGGAAGCAGCCAGGTGAGGGGTCGAGCCTGGGGCCGGTCAGCCTGTGAGCTCCAGCTCCAGAGCCGGCCCGGCCCGACCCGGCCCGACCCGACAGCAGCAGCACCGGCGCTCTCACTGCCGAGCGAGGGCGGGGGGTGGGGGCGCGTGAGGGGCGGCTGACAGAGCCCGTGCGTCCGGCACACCAGGATCCACAGGATGGAGGCGGCCGGCGGCCCGGCCCGCGGGGCAAATCTGCGGTCAGTCACCCCGCGCCAGGTCAGCCAGCCTCTCGGTGCCCGGCCCAGCTAGCCACCTGGCCTGCCCTGGAAGACGGGAGGGCTGGCCCGTCCCCTCTTCCAGCTCCCTCCGGAACTCGCTCCGCCCGCGTCCCCGGGGAGGAGGGCTCCCCCGCCCACGGGCGGCCTCCCCTCCGGTAAAGGGCGTCACGACCGTTCCCTAAACGCTGAGCTTCGTCAGCTGATGCAGCAACAGCGCTGAGCGGCGGCACCGCGAGAGGCCGAAGTTCATATCTCCGGGCCGCTCTAGGACGTCCTCCTTCCCGCCTCCGGGAGGAGGACGCCCTGTCCACCCCCGTCAGGCTGACTCCAGTCACCGGACACTCTTGTCCTTGGGGGGCACGGGCTCGAGTCAGCATAACCGCTGCCCTCTGCTGTCTGTCCCGATAACCTCCCAGACGTCGCCCCCCCAACCAAACCTTCTCCTGTCTTCAGCTGGGGAGAGTGTTTGAGGTGGTGCCTTGGGCCACTGGGGGGGTTACTCGGTTTCCCTGTGTTTGAGGGCACGAGGCTTAGCGTAAGTGGCTGCATTTGGGGCTCCTGGTCTTGTTTTTCACAATTCTTAACGCAGAACCTGGCGTTCGGTCTGTATCATTGTTAACCATGAGGAGAGCCCAGCCCACCGTTCCCCGTGGGACTGGCGTGGACGACGGTCCCCCTGCGAGGAGGGCAGGCGCCCCCGTGGCCCCAGCTCCGGACACGGAGCGGCCAGCCACGCGGGTCGGCAAGCGCGGTTCTCTCTCTCCTCGGCCGGCTGGGTGCCCTGTCTCCTCCTCCGGACACCCCGACCGCCCTGCAGTCCCTCCCTGTGATTGCTCTAGGGTTTCCTCCTTCCCGCCACTTCCTCCGCGCTGGGCCGCCCTGGGCAGCGCACAATCAGCTGCTGACCCCGCAGCGGGAGGAAGTTCAGGCGGAAGGGCGACCGCAGAAGCAGAAGCGCGCCGAAAGGGCATGGGGGGGTGGGGAGGCGCTGATTGAGGGGTTCCTGGCGGCCTCACCACCAGCACCACCGGCCCAGCCTGGAAAGGTCCCCCAAGAGGTCAGGTGCGTGTGTGAGAGTGCCCTGGCCTCTAGCAGTCTTCCCAGCGACACAGACACAGACACAGGCACAGGCACAGGCACAGGCACAGGCACAGGCACAGACACAGACACAGGCACAGGCACAGACACAGGCACGGGTACAGGCACAGGCACAGACACAGGCACAGGCACAGACACAGACACAGGCACAGGCACAGACACAGGCACGGGTACAGGCACTGGCACAGACACACAGGCACAGAGACAGGCACAGAGACAGGCACAGACACAGACACAGGCACAGGCACAGACACAGACACAAACACAGACACAGGCACAGGCACAGGCACAGGCACAGGCACAGGCACAGACACACAGACACAGGCACAGGCACAGACACAGGCACGGGTACAGGCACAGACACAGGCACAGGCACAGGCACAGACACAGACACAGGCACAGGCACAGGCACAGGCACAGGCACAGGCACAGGCACGGGTACAGGCACAGGCACAGACACACAGGCACAGAGACAGGCACAGAGACAGACACAGGCACAGGCACAGGCACAGGCACAGGCACAGGCACAGGCACAGGCACAGGCACAGACACAGGCACAGGCACAGACACAGGCACGGGTACAGGCACAGACACAGACACAGGCACAGGCACAGGCACAGACACACAGACACAGGCATGGGCACAGGCACAGACACAGGCACGGGCACAGGCACAGGCACAGGCACAGGCACGGGCACAGGCACAGGCACAGACACAGACACAGGCACAGGCACAGACACAGGCACGGGTACAGGCACAGGCACAGACACAGGCACAGGCACAGACACAGACACAGGCACAGGCACAGACACAGGCACGGGTACAGGCACTGGCACAGACACACAGGCACAGAGACAGGCACAGAGACAGGCACAGACACAGGCACAGGCACAGGCACAGACACAGACACAAACACAGACACAGGCACAGGCACAGGCACAGGCACAGGCACAGACACACAGACACAGGCACAGGCACAGACACAGGCACGGGTACAGGCACAGACACAGGCACAGGCACAGGCACAGACACAGACACAGGCACAGGCACAGGCACAGGCACAGGCACAGACACAGACACAGGCACAGGCACAGACACAGGCACAGGCACAGACACAGACACACAGGCACAGAGACAGGCACAGAGACAGACACAGGCACAGGCACAGACACAGACACAAACACAGACACAGGCACAGGCAC